GAAAGCATTTCCTTTCTACTCCCCTCCATGACTGTCCCCTTTGCTTCCGTGGTTGTTTTCTCCTTGTTTTTTCCACAACCCAGAGGTGATTCAATCACTTCCAGATGACAACAGCATCCAGCTCAAAGATAAATCAGTCAGGACACACAGGTTTGTTTTTGAAGAAAGTTGCAATACCAGACAGACATTTCCTGAGAGGCGAGGAAGCTTTCTGTGGAAGTGTTTGTGCTGCCATTTCCAGATGGATCGGGGCAGAGATGGGGATGAAGACCATGGGAGAGAGAGAAAATAATAAATGCAATTATTTTTAATTATTTAATTATTTACATTTTAAATTATAGTCATGCACACATTTCTGTATGATACTATTAGACATATTTCTGTAATTGATTAATCTGTGTAATTTATTTAATATATGTTCTAAGTTGTCATTGCATAGCTTAACTTTTGCAACACTTTACATGTTTGAGCTTGAACTTGAGATAACCTAATATGGATCACAGAACCACTTTTTTATCCCATATGACCACAATATCCCAACAAACACTGCGAACATTTCACAGTCATGTTCCTCGCGTACAGTATAAATATCTTTGGGTCATGACAAAGTTCATGGCTTTGAACAAAATAGTTTGTGCCAGGAACATTTAAATGCTCATACAGTCTTCAAAAGAAAAAAAAAGTTTATATGTGTAATGTGATTTTTCAGCAGAGTCACTCTTTCTCCGCTAATGAACAAAAGGTCAATCTTAAGAACAAGATTACTACATTTCACAGATGCTTAATTTGTTTACACCATATCCCTGGTAAAGTGTTGGGAAACCAAAGACCTAATCAGCTCAGAACCTCCCCTTTCATTAGAGTCTAAATAAGATATGGGATAAATAAGATACAGTATTTTCCTCTGAAAGACAATCTTTCCTTACTAGTATTTTTTGCTGGGACACTCGCCTCTCACTTTGTAGGCTGTAGCTCAATCTTTCCTTGGTGATGCCTGTTTTGTCACAGCTGAGAGATCAGCAGAACTCCAAAGAACTTTCACATGTGCAGCATTTCTTCTGCAGGCCATCTTATCTCACAACCACATGTTAAGCTGCTGGTTTGCAGACCAGGAAATAGTTACTGAGGGCTGCTGCCGGGGGAATCTAGGAGGAATCAGGGTCACTTGACTACACATAGCATCACTCTGGAAGCTTTTTGATCATGTGAGTGGGATGTAATCTAGGTCTTATTTTGAAACACTTGAAGTGGATCTTTGAAGTCATTACCACCTTACAGAAAATTGACCTCTTAGCACAGCTCAGAAAATGTAATCCTGAGCTCCCAAACCATATCCATAACTAGAAACATAACTTCTCCCCCTCTCTGTGGTGTTTCCCTCTCTCTATTACCATATCTAACCCAAGCATGGCATTGGTTCTGTGTTTCCAGCCAGAAGCTCTCTGTACCATCTTGTCCTTCTATGGAAAATACAGGAGACCCAGCACAGAGGGCATTTAGGGATAAAGCGTCCTTGAAATCAGTGAAATAACAAACTTACAGAGCTTCACAAGTGGTGCTTTTCTGTCTCCTTGTGGCAGCAAAATGCAAATACATCTGTACTACATATTGGTCACGATGGATTTATGATTCTACACTTTTATAATGTCATTTTATAATGTCATGTTAAGTACTTGGGCATATTTCTCAGTCACTAGCACTGGCAACACACTTAAATAAAGCCTATATAAAACTACAGTGGGAATTGACTAAACTGTCCACTCCAGTACTTCAAACATCAGTTTAATATTTGCTTTCACTTCCTAATGATCTCAAATACACCTCAACCCTAGGCACTTTCCAGTCTAAATCAAAAACGTGTTCTCCTGTGGCTTTGATTGATTTGTTTTTCTGCTGGACTTTTATTTCCTTTGCTGCAAGTTATAACTGCACTATAACTGTATTTCTGGTCTAATCCATTTGTCTTATTTAATTGTACATATTTTATTACATCTAATTTTTAAAATCTCATTTTATTCCATCTTAATTGTATTTTAGCTTTTATTGTTGATTGTACTTAAATGCCATTCTAATGCTCTAATCTTTGCCTGTGTAAAGCACTTTGAATCTCTGTTTTAAATGTGCTACATAAATAAAGCTGCCTTGCCTTACCCTACTGAATAATTCATGTTTGGTGTGAAGTTTGTCAGATAATCAAGTAGCTTCTCTGAATAGATTATAAGCAAATGTGACACTTCTTTAATGTACGATTACACAAAATAACATTTCTCCTGAAAGCTGCAAGGAAGCTTGGTAGCAATCTTGCTAAAATGAGAAAATTAGAGGAACAAAGAGTTATCACGGGCATTTCGGGAATGTCTTAAATATCATCAGACGTCTTAACAGAGGAGGAGAAAATAGAAATGCTTAATCTACAAGAGAGCCTGGATAAAATATATAAAAAGAAGGCAGAAGGACCTTTTATAAGGAAACAGTGGTTAGAAGAAGGGGAGCAACATTCTTCATACTTCTTCAAACTGGAAAAGTATCATGCAAAGATGAATACCATTAATGAATTAAAAATTGGCAACTCTATAAGTGATGATCAGCATTTAATGTCTGATTTTTGTTCCTCCTTTTATAAAAAATTATATACCTCGGAATATTCTGACGATGATGCTTCAATGTTCCTCAATTCTCTACATAATACCCCTAAACTCGACAACTCAGAAAGGGATTTTTGTGACCTCCCATTATCCCTGGCAGAAGTCAGTCAATGTTTAGAACTGCTAAAAGAAAACAAGTCCCCTGGGACAGATGGTCTATCGTCTGAATTTTATAAATTGTTTTCCCAGCAGATGGCGCCCTTCTTACTGCAGGTATTTAATCAAAGTATAAAAGCCAAAACCTTACCATGGAGTATGACTCAAGGTTTGATTACTTTAATCCCTAAACCACACAAGGACTTACTTTATATTGATAATTGGCATCCAATTAGCCTATTGAATAATAACAAAATTTTGGCCTTGATCTTTGCTAGAAGAATAAAAAAAGTATTAGATTATATAATTGATGAAACACTATCAGGCTTTATGCTTAAAAGGCATATCTCCAACAACATTAGATTAGTCTTAGATTTAGTTGACTATTCACATTTAATTTCAGACGACAGCTCTTTTCACTCAAGAAGTTTGGCTTTGGGGATTTCTTTTGTGATGCAGTCAAGACTCTGTATAGTAATGCAAATGGTTCAATTAAACTTAAAAAGGGGTCCTCACCCAGATTTGAAATCAGATGTGGAATTCGAATCTTTTTTTACTTGCAGCCCAACTTTTATGTGAACACATTAAAAATAGTAATTTGCAGGGCATTTCCATTGCTGAAAAAACAGTCATTATGACCTCTGTAAGCTTTACAAGATATTTATTTAAATTTTTCTTTTGCTTTTGTTAAAATTATACTTTGCTTTCCATAACCCTTGACCTCCCTGGCCTATTTGTGATATGTCCATAGACTTGATGTACAGAAGATGTTGTTTTCCTGCTGTATATCCTAATTTTGAATAAAGTTTAAAAAAAAAATAAAAAAAAAGATTTCCTTGCGTGACAGTGTGTGGAGCTGTAAGTGCTAAAATTGTTTCCATAACTATTCGGCTTATTGATGCTTGTGACAGCCAAAATCATCAGCATTGCTGCGTTTGTCCTGTGGTAAATAAACGAAGCGTCATCACCACCTTTAATTTAACAGAAAACGCATTACTGCATAAAGCCAGTGGTGAGATGACGTCATTCAACAACTCGCTGACAAAGTTTATGCCTGCGCTGTCCGACCCTCCGGCGAGGTTTTACTGTCATGTGACATGGTGACGTTTTGCAGCGCCGGCGAAAGTCAGCCGAATTCTTCCTCTCCTCTCCTCATGTCTGTCTCCACAGTGCCATCACAAGCCCTACTGGCAACTCCTAACCACTTGAAGGACCTTTCGAGCTGTCTTAAATAACTGGGAGAGTAAGAGTGATTCTTAGCTTTGAGAAATTTAATAACTAGCTTTTATTCTTAAGTTTAAAAGTAGGAGTAAATTTCATGAAGTCTCAGCACTAAATGCTACTAAAATGGCACTCTGACAAGCTTGATAAATACCGGCCCTGGAGCCTAAGTTCTTCTGATGTATTTGCTTTTTGCTGCCACAAAGTGGCAGAATATTACTGCAGTTTAGGAGCATATTTTGCCCACCTTATGAGTTTGCATATCTTGTGCCTATATTTATCCATCTTTTCAAATGTTTAATGTATTTCTTTTGTATTTCTAATGTTTTGCAATGATAGACACCCACTACATAATACATGAACATATAAAGAATTATTGATGATGCTATTAAACTATGTACAGATTTAAGTAAACATACTGAAAATGATTTTACATGATTATGTAAAGCTAAGGGTGTGTTCATGTTGTGGTTCATTAGTTTTGTGACTGTTTATGGAGCAGTGTCACAATTACATGGAGCTAGTTCACTGGGGCTCAGTGGTAAATCTTCAAATGCATTTAACAAACGTTGTCGCACTTGAAGAATAAAGGGTTGAAATCTTAAAACTTGTGCAAAACCAGCAGTATTTGGAGTTTTGGTTTGTTCATGACAATTAAAAGAACCTTTGACAGGTCTCCACCAGGGTTATTATGTAATTAGAGTCTTATGTAATAAATCACTACGGCTAATTTGTCATCTCTTTGGGTGAGGACTGTTTGTGCGTACTCCTTAAAACAGACTTTTTGGTCTCCTTAAATGTTCAGTTCTTTGGTTTGTGAAATCTGGTGTAAGAAAACCCTGAATGACCATTTAGGATACACCTCTGAATGTATGTATAAAATGTTCAAGCAAGGTATTTATCTTCATTTAAAACCCCGTTGAAGCCATGTCATGGTTGAAAAGTTGAAAGTTTTTTTTAAATTGTCGTGAACAAGCCATAACCAATAAAGTAATCAAAAACTCAGTGAGAATACCACTGCCTGTTACACAAACAAAGCACACTCACAATAAACACTTTATTTTCACCATGAAAAATAGACAATATATCTCAATATACACAACAATTTCTGTCAACCAAGTTTCAATGTTTACATAACATTCAATTTCTGTCTTCCTCTGGTTTCAAATATACATTCATTTGTCTGTAATTTACACCAGACAGCAGGTGTTCATGTTAATGGCCACACACAGAAGACAGATATAAAATTTCTCAAAAACTGCAACAGAGTCTCAAATACATTATAGCACCAAGCACAAAAAGACATTCTTTTTGGGCTGGTGGATGAGTTAGTCCATGCAGATGTTGTTGCACAAGCTGCCTACAAATTCAGTAAATTCTCTGTCCAAAAATCATCTGCCATTACTATAGACCAGATAATGATGAAAGCAGATGTAGTTGGCAGAGTACATCTGCTTTCCCCATTAACTGGTTTAACTTAGTCACACCAGTAGTTTTGAAGGGACATCCAAGATTTGCCTTCACTTCACAGTCTAACATGCTCTGGGGAAACCAAAACTGTGCACATTTTCTCTCTCGCTTTCTGTTTTATTTATTCTCTTTGAACCTCTTTCATGTCTCACAAAAAATGTAGCTGAAACAATTCAAAATAGAATGAAAGACAACTTGTTTTCTACATTATGGTGGGAGCAAATGAGTGAATGTAGGCACACACAGCATTACCATAACGTAACGGACTGCAGAGGTGCAGTGTGGCACAGACTGGGTTTTAAAGCCCCATAAAGAAAGAAATCCCTATAAACAAAGCTTGTGCCCCTGGCATCTTTTCCCACAGAACACAATAGCAGCATTGATCAATATCAATTTGCAATCATACATGGGTCAAGGTACTTTTTCCAACTCCACACTATGTCTGAAGGAACATATGCAAATCTGCTTTGGTAAACATTGACTCATAGTCCACAACACAACAGTGCACATTTTAATTTAATTTCTCATTTCAGTCTGTGTGAAAGTCACGGCTGACAGGTGACTCTGTTGTGAGTTGCCTCGTGCACTGAGCAGTTCTGAACTGAGGCAGATATTGCGGAGAAAAGCCATGCGTTGCCGCTGACAACAGCTCACTCGTGTCCTCAGGGCCAAGCAAAGGGTGCGACTCCACGGAACAGTCCTCTCTGTTAAAAACTACATTTTTAAGCAGCTCAATTTTTGTCTCCTCTTCTCTCTGCTCCTCGTCTTCCTCGCTTTCCTCATCCTCCACTGGATAGTCCATTCCTAGATAATACAAGTTCTTCTCTTCTCTCACCTCCTCCTCTTTGTCTTCATGCTCTGATGTTTCAGAAAGTTCCTCCACCGAGTTGTAGGAGCAGGAGCGCCGCGGGTCGTCAAGCTCCCACAGGCCACCGGGGAAAGATCCAGAAATGTCTGAGTTGTTGGCAGAGAAATTGCCTTCATCACTGGAGCTGCTGCCACTACCATCCTTGTAGTTGATATGAATGTGTTGCTGCTCTGGCTTCGGATCAGAGAGCAGGACAGTGGCGTATGTGACTGAAGACTGGGCGGAGCTGTCAGTACTGCCTGGGGGCTGGTCTGCTGGGGGGTCAACTAGCTGTAACTGATCTATTCTTTGACTCGAACTGGTTAATGCATCCAGAACAAAGGAAGGAGTTCCACCTAGGAGCGCCTCACTCTCCATTGGTTGGGCTTGGTCAACCTCTGGATCAAACACTGGAAGCAAGGAGCTAGATAAGGAAGTGGCTGGTGCAGGAGTTAGGGACACAAGTGGGTCTTGGACTAAAGCTGTAGTCAGAACTGAGAGATCAGCCTTGTTCACTATAACAACTTTGGAAAGGTTCTCAGAGGGTAGGAGCAGCGGCCAGGCTGGCAGGCCTTCAGGAAGTCGGAACAGGTGGTCAAAGGTGTCAGCCTAAAAAGACACGCAAAACATATACAAAAATGTTTACAATATACAGTGTAAAATGCTGTAAAAAAACAAAACAGATGTTTATGCACAGACGTATTACGGAGTTTAAGTTTAATAGTTTTGGGAAATGCACTTATTTGCGTTCTTGCTGAGAGTTAAGATGAGAAGATCAGTAATTAAAATTATATTTATATATTGAGGGTTTAATCTGCACAAAAAAACAGTGTAAAAACAGTTGAACAGTGACTTTTCTGGGAATCTGTGAATATGCCAGGCAACCAGCTGGACAAAGCCAAGTTAGCTGTTTCCCTTTGTGCCATTAAGCCAAGTTAAGATAACCAGCTGCTGAACGTACCTCCATATTTAACAGACAGACATGACAGTGGCAAAAAAGTGAAGTAGTACAAGGTAGATTTCCGAAAAAGTATTTCTTTAAATGACACCAGGTCTGCTATGAAGTGCCAAATGTTGCAAATGAGTCACATTCAAGAGCAATGAGTCTATAAAATAAATGTTTGAATGCAAGTAAACTTAACAAAGAAAAAAAAAAGAGTCATCATTTAAGAATAAAATTAACAGTTATACCTTTTCGAAGTCTAGTCCTTTGGCCCAGGAGCACTTGTTTGGGTCAGGCACATCCTTCCACACAAACCTTTTCATCCTGGAAAAAAATGCAGAAGATTTTTACACTTCACCTCCCCGTCTAAAGACCTTTTCCTCCTTTCCTCCCCCCACCTCAAGTGTAATTACACCCTTGTGACCTGTTAAATGTCACACTAATTTTTCACTGCCATTGTCTCTGCTCCCTAAATGGGATTACACCCCAGAAATTTCCATCATTTCTCATTTCTTACAGGTGTCTGGGTAAAAAAACTAATTCGACATACTCTGATTAATACCTAGTACAAGATTAAAGGGGGGGTAAAAACTATAAAGTGTCTTTTTTTAGATAACATATTGCTGTTGTAGTATTTAAACACCCCAAACTCATTCAATATCAGAAGTTTTACGTGGTGATAGTCTGGGTGCAACAAGTTTTATGACTGAACACCATTCTTGAGTTGATTTCCTGTAAATGTGTCTTTGGAGTCTTCACTTAACAGGAGCTCTTACTGGTTTTGGGAGAGGACCAGGGTGACAAACAGGACGATAGAGAGGAAGGAGATGATCATCAGCAGCATGTAGGCTGCAGGGTCTCCTCTGGTGGCTGTAACAGTTGGAAATACACAGACCTATAATTAATAACACATTGAAAGTGCTGGCGTTGTGTCATCTTGAAACACTTTAATATTGAATGATACTGATGCAACAGCCAGAAAACTGGTTTATATTGGGCATACCTCTGGCATATATTGGCTCCCCTTCTCCATCAGCAAACACAGGGTACAAGTAGAAGCCACACTCCTCAGAGCCAAAGAAATCACCTGAAATGATTCATTAAAATCATGTTGGCTGAGTATACTTTATACTTTTTATATTAACTCATCCTATCAACAGTGACAGTGAGAAATAAAATAATAAAAAGAACAGACAGAGAAGAGATCATGTTACCTCTTAGATAGATGGGACGGTCAGTGTAAGGCAGCCTGGCCCATGTTTCTCCACTCTGGCCTTGTTGATGATCAGAGTCCTGTTGCCTCTGTGGAGACCACTGGACCACCATGGACAGAGGCACAGAGCTGTTGTCCAACAGACTCCAGGACAGGGAGACACATGTGCTGTTGATAGCCAACACACTGAATGAACGCACAGAGCGGCCTGCAGTATAGAAAAGAAAAAAAGTGAGTGAATACAATTTTTTCAGGTGACTTTTCCTTGTGGTTCAAGTACTATTACACACAAAAACAAAAATATAGCTGTGAGAGGCAATGATCGGGATCCAAGCAAGTCGTGAAAAACGCAACATTTGACATTTTCAGAGCAGAAAAACAGATGCAGATGACTTGAGAGATTAAAGTGATGAAATAATTTGGACTTATTGGAGAAATGCAAACTTGATTTTTACAGCATCACCTTGAGATCAGAGATTGTCATTATATGTACCTGACTACTTACTGGGTGAAATGTTCAACCTGCAACATTTTATGTTTCAAAGGTTTTAAGTTTAAGCCGCACAAACACTTTTAGCCAGAGAAAATGAAGGAGAAAGTGTCCTCGACCCAAATAAAATGACTTACTGACTGAGCTACTGGTGAGAGGCTGTTACAACACACCTTCTCACAAGTTGAGGTAGTGACGTCACATGTGTCAGACCTGGATAGTTTTCTCAGTTTGAACTTAAAACACTTACAACTGTCAAGATGTTGGTGAGAAAATTCTGAAAAAAAATCACACATCATTCTGCTGGTTTTGGGTATGTTTTAAATTATTTTGACAGGATTTGATCCAAAACTGAGCAAAAAAGAAAATGTTGTGCATACTGTACAAGTTAAAGCAAGATACTGAATATCACTGCAGACGCACTGTTAGACCAATCTAAAAATCCTTTGCGACACTTGATATCGGCCATCTAGAGAATGTCTGTGTTGATTTTGGTAGCGTTTGATGAAAGACTTGTGGAGACATAGATGTTAATTGATTTAGCATATTCTGAAAAATATAGAGTTTGTCACATATCAGTGGATGTGCTGAAACGATTTCACCTCTCTAGGACGTACAGGTGATTTTCTTAGATTTTTTGAAGTTTGGAATGAGAAATGTCTTGAAATTTACATTTATTGTAAAAAGTCACACCCACTTTGAGTATTCATCACTAAATTTAACGCATCAACTGAGTAGTGTCCCTATATCGTATAAACCGAATTTTGTACAAATCCAGGCAGCGAATTACGAGGACCGAGCATATGAACAGACGCGTCAAGTTTGGTTACAATAGTTTAAGTCAATTTTGATTTATGGGCATTTATGTAAAATTGTACATAAATATACAAAAGTAAAAATTTCTGAAAAAAAAAAAAACAGATAAGCGACATCCGCAGATGATCCTGCCAAATTTTCAGGTTGATTGGCAAAACCGTCTGGAAGGAGTTCGCAAAAATAGGTTTTAGAGAAAAGTGATAGAAGTCTTATAATTTGACATTTTTAGAGCAGAAGACCATATGAGCAAAGATACAGATGAATCCAGAGAGTAAAATGATGAAGAAGTTTGACTCTAAATGAAGAACAGAAACATAAAATTGATTGTTATAGCGCCACCATGAGGTCTATGTGCCATTTTTTTTGCCTGAGTAGTGGGTGGAATTTGCAACCCACCTGCCAATTTTGGTGAGTTTTTGTCCAGAAGTTTTTGCTGCCCAAACACTTTTATTGAAGACAGAAAGACTTATGAGAAAAACAATAGGAGTCCAGCAGCTTCGCTGCTTGGATCCATAATAAAGCCTTTGTACAGAAATGATTCTGTTTCAGGCGTTTTGACTCCTTTTACGATCTCTATGGTCTCTGTGGCTCTACTGGAGGGATTAAATACTATTCTGCCAAAACAAAATCCTTTATTTGATGTTTTGATGATTGTGGTAGAATGTGAGTCCAATATGCACTCTCTTTTAGCTCTGTTTTTGTTCTCTACCAACTATATGTTCACTAGCTAGTCGCTAACTGTATTTGTCTGTTGTTTGGTGCTGACCAGGTAGTGTACAGTGGGTTTTTAGAGCTTTTTCTCTACAAAACTGTGACTGAAAATGATGCTAGTGTGGTGAGCATAGAGGTGATGAGAGTGAACCAAAACAGTAAAGTTGCAGGCCTGGGACAGCTAAACAATGAGCTGTAACTTATTATAAAGCTGAGGGAAGCTGCAGATTTGGGTGCTAATGACAAAATCTGCACAAAATTCTGTTTGCACAACTTATTAGCAAACAGCTGAAAAACCAAAACATTGAGCTAAAGATGCTAAGAAGGCTCTGTAGAGCTGAGGGGAACTGAAGAGTCAGCTGTCACTATGAGTGACACCTTTTACATACACGTAGTCATGATTCATTGTAAATATAAAAATATTGATTTTAACTCCTTTAAGTAGCATTCTTTTCATATACACCTGAATAAATGAGCAAAGAACCATAACGAGTGCAGATGCTTCCATACAGGGCACAAGAGGTTACAGCATTTAATGGGTTTGCAGAGTATGATGTGAGTCACAAGCTGCTTTAATGTCAACATCAGCTATTGGGCTAATTTATCCTGCTGCTAGTTTGGCTGCAAATAACACTAAAAACACATATTCTCAGAATACTTATGGGAAAATGTCACAAACAACTTCAGGGAAAACCATTTTATTCTGCCAGTTAGTGAAAATACTTTTCTCTGAATTATGAGAAATGAGAAACACACAGCTGTCTCTTTCACACAACCACACAAACACATCCCATGTATTACACAGATAACTGCCATTTAACAAGTTAAACTAATTACCTCTGTTGGAGTGCTGCTAACAGTTTTTACCTACAACAACACTAATGGCAGCAGGAACTCAATCAGAGCCTTTATACGCTGTAATGGCTGTCAAAGCTGTCATGTCCTCAGCTTTGATGTACATTTTCTGTGAAATCTGTAACATTCTGTAAAATGTGGCAACATGACAAAGTGGTTAGCAGTTCAGTGCTAACCATCTTGTCTCTCCAGTACACATGCACCTATGTCTGTCAGTGTAAGCACTGACCATGAAGCTTTTTGATCTTATTGAGTTTATTGATTGAACCTCTCTTTTGTCAACTTGTACATTTTTTCACAGTGCAGTAAAACTGCAAACACTTTTGATTGCATGTTTTTTGTGGTTCAATGTCAAACACACTGTCTCAGGTATCCTTCAGACTTCAGGCTAAAGAACAAGAGACAGGCTCTAAGATTGCTGCAGATGTGGTTTGTGTAAAGAAAAAAATGGTACTGTCACTGTATAACTGCCCTGTTGCTCCAACAGGGAAATGTTCCTGCAATATTAATGTAATTCTGAGAATGTAGAACTTCATGTCCTAAATCAGGGAAAACCGCTTATAGGGATCACGGTTACGGTGATCAACAGCTTACATGGATCAAAAAGCTTGGCAGTGACAGCCTACCCTTTCTTTTCACGCCTGTTAAAAATTCAGCAATGCAATGAAACATCTACCACGCTGTAGCTTAGTAGACTATTAGCACTACAGATGTTGATGTATTCCTCTTTTTCTTTTTTTCTTATTACTCACGTTTGGGCTGTCTCTCCAGCGTCATGTTGATGTTGTTAGTAGAGCTGCCCAGACTATTGTAGGCCTCCACAGTCACAGTTTGGAGCAGCTGGTTCCACTCAAAGCTGTAAGAAGACACCAGCTCGATCTTCTCCCTCGTCACTGAGCCACTCAAGGCCTGGCGATGGACTATAAATCCATCCACACAGTAAGAGTGCCCTGATATTTGGAGATGCTGCAGGGAAAAAAGCATGAAAACTAACATTTGTAATGGTATGTCTTAATTATGAGCATGAAATTTTTTTTTTATATATTTTAGTTTGTGTACCTCAAATAAAAGAGTGACATTAGTCTGGTTTCTGAATGGATCATCTTGAAGAATTCTCCAGAAATCTGGACCACGCTCTGGAGCTGAGGGGAAGGCATACAAATGCATCACCTGACAACTTTTACCTCTGTGTTATTGGTGGAGTAGATGGTGTGATATGTATTGATGTGCCAAGGTTGTCGTTATCTTAAAAGCTTAGTGTTTGTGGAAATGTTGTTCAAGAGTGAAATTAATGGTGTTCTACTGCACCTCTGCTGTTCTGAGGTGTGGAGTAGACCGATTCGCTCCATTCGCTCCAGTAGCCGGTGCCGTTGGTGTGCATGCAGCGTACTTGTACCACATACATCCGGCACATGTCCGACACTGCGACCTCTGCCCATGGCACCCGCACTGGACTCTGCACCTGCAGGCAGGACATTTAGTGCTCATGCTAGATTTTAAAAAATGAATGGAAAATATCTGATCTGTGTGGTACACATCTGTTTCTTCTGTCTAGTATCCAATTTACCAAAGCAAAGAGAGAAATTTATTTCCTCATCTTGACATGTCCAATTACCAAGATCTTTTTCAATCAGAGGGCAAGAATATGGTCTCATATTAGATCATGTCACTGTCAAGGTGAGTCCATGTCAGAGTGTCCTGTGTCATTTAAGGAGATATGAGAATTATTTACCAGCTGAATATGTTTGTTCCTGTTGTTCTAGGTAGATAAACATATTTCTTACAGGTAGAAGAACATTTTGAAAAGATAACAAAATGTAAACCATGTCGCTTTTTAGAATAAAATGTCCTAATCACCCAATAGTCACGTTCAAACTAATATTTAGAGGGTTTGCAATGTTGGGCCATCTTCTATTTACTTCCTGCAATAATTGGTTTTCGATAAAGATGGGTGATATGCCACTAAGCTCACCTTCCACTCTGGCTGGGCTCTCACAGCAGATGCTGAGAGGTACCGAAACTGACACTGGAGCCCCTCGACTGGCAGGGACGGAGGCTCCCATGTGACCATCAGGACCCCACTGCTTCGGCTCACTGCCTTCACGTTAGTGGGTGTGTGGGGTTTCACTGCAGGGGGAATAGCATGGAAGAAGTGTGTGTGTTTGTCTCATGCAAATATTTGCAAATATTTGCACACAAAGACTCTCAGAACACGTGAAATAAATTCAATGACAAGTCGTGACAAAAAGCAATTCACCTTGAATGGACAAGAAAGTTCCCTTGATGCCCTTTTCAACTTCAGTGAGAAATGTCATCAATCTTTTGTTTGCTTTATCATAACCTAACTTTTTAACTGCTTTATCATAACCTAACTGAAAGAAAAGTACATTTTTAATTTATTTATATGAAACGCTGTAGTGGAAGGAGTGTCATTTTTTTTCCTGTTATTTGTGATATGTTCCACACATGAATCCATCTTGCTTACCATGATCTATAGGCGACAGGTAGATGGGTTTAGACCTGATAGGGCCCAGTCGGGATGGTACTTCTAACCACAGCTTGTAGCAGTTCATCCTCAGAGGCTGAATAGTGCAGGTCTTCAGCCTGGATGGCACCTGTAGGCAAGGCCCCATCTCCCCCACTCTCTCACCCGCTCTCTCCCTCTCCTCCATCACATCACACGGCAGGTCAGCCCACCTGAATTATTATATATTTTTTTTTTAAATAAAAAATAAATAAATGTAGACCTTGAAGATTATGTTATTTTATTCCTGTAGGTCCCTTTCTTTTTATAAAATCTCATCAATACATCTCAAAAGGTACAGTATAGACCCAAGTAGAAACCTCATAACGGTTAAAAAGTTAAGTGTGCAACGCTGGACACATCTCATCCTTAACAGTTGCCATCTTGGCTACGTAGCGGAAGGGCAGGGACCATCAACCTATTTTCAAACTTGTGAAAATGGCGGCCAAGGAAGCTGTAGCCATTGCGATTGCCCACATAAGCAAGTAAAAGAAGTAAGAGCCCAACGGCCATGTTTGATTTGAGAGAACACCTGCCTGTCGAGATTCCCAATCTACGCAAGTAATCGCAGTAAAGTAGTGTTATATTGTGGTTTCTCCATTAAAAAAAAATTCTGTTGTTCTGACGTCAGAAGTACTGATGACATTGATTTATAGTTTAGTCTTCAAACATCACTTCACTCTGTGCAGGGTTGGACACAACAAATTCTAGGTGGTACACTGTGTTGTTTGTACAAACATTGAATACACTGTGCTAAAAGGAGAAAACTGTACTGTAAAATGTAAATTGCTGCTTTACCTGGATCTGAATTTGGGTTTAGTCCACTGTGTGTTCTTCCAGCTACAGTCCATAGCGTCGATATCACCGTTAGTTTCGCAGTTTATATCGATGGAAGCTCCTGAAACATTGCAGAGACAATTTTAGGTAACAATAGGAAACTTCACCTGAGACAGCCTTTGTGCACTGGGGTTATTTTGGTTCACAATGTTGTGCTGCCACATGTCGCCACTCGCCTTCCCATCTTTGTCCACTGCAGCAGAAAACTGATGCAATAAAGGGATGTGGACTTCCAGCACCTTGGTGAAATGTTATTACAGTCTTAAAGTGTACATAAGTAATGTCTTTCTTTCTTTGAACATGTAACAGTGGTAGTAATAGCTTTTAACGTTGCATAATATTTAGCTTTGCTGTGTTTGGTTTTAAGAAGCTCACCTTCTACATAGATCTGGCTGTATGGGATGGTCCACTCCTGAGTGCACTGCAGTAGGTCATACATCCGAGTCTCTGAGGGACGCACTGTGATCTGGCTGACCTGTTTTGGGAAAGGAAGAGTCACATCTATGAAGTTACACAGAATTAATTTCCCTTTGTGGAAATGTTCCCAGAAGCAGAGGTTTTTCTTACCCATTGGTTGACTGGGTGGTACTGGCTGTGATGAAGCCGCTGTTGGAAGTTGAGCATCCACATGGCTGTGCTGGCGTTGATGTTGTGATCGTTGAACACACAGTACACGGTTACATTCTCTCCCGGTCGTGCCACCACTTTCTCAGGGATGTAGCTCACCGCTGCACGCACGCACACACACACGCACAAGCGCACACACACACACACACTTTTTTTATACAAAGCACCCTCAAGGAATGAAGACACATAAAGAAAAGCTAAAAAGTAATGAAGGAGAATAAAACAAAGGCCCTCAGTTGAACAAACATCTGACTCATTCTCATTCACCCAAAGTTTCCTTGAACGTTTTTACAGAAGAAAAAAAAACTTTTGAGGGACTTCGAAGACATTGTTTTGTTTGTCACATGGTCGGAAATGGTTTGAATGTGTGGGCGTTATCTAACCACCTCCTCAGACGTAGCTAACAATGACATGTTTTCTGCCAGCAAAAACAAAAGAAACGTGACTCATCAGCAAAACAGGTAAACAGCTCAACAAGAGAAAACTTGAAATTTTTAGTTTCTATTTCTGTTTTTGGAAGACTTGAGATTACTCATAAGTTGTTGAATCTCACAAACTTTTACCCACCATGACATATTTTTGCACCATGGTCAGGTTTCCTGATGTGATACAGAGTAGAAGAGCAACCCTTTGAAGCTGGTAGCCACACAGACACCTATTATGACAACACAAAACACTACCAGGCAAGTCTCAAATGGTCTGTTGTGCTGTTTAAAGCCCTAAGGCTGATGTTAACATTTTAATTAGCAGTGTGATGCTGCAAAGCCCAAATGAACAACCAGCCAACATGAACATGTTACAGTCTCTCACTCAAGGAGTGTGCAAACAATTCTCGCTCTCATTTTTCAGTTTCATCATATTAAAAAAAGACGACTGTTAAGAAGTCTGCACATGGATCACTGCTTCATGTTCAGCTTACTGAACAGATTTGATGCATGCAACATTTTCAAGCCATCATGTCATCCTGTTTGATTTGTAGTTGGTCATTAACATCGAGGTCGACCACTGAAGTCTACTGACGCTGACCATACTGAATGAGTTCTTCATTAATAGCATAGGCTAATGAGCTCCACTCATTTTAACAGTTCAGCATTAACATAAATCTACCTGAAAGATAATTGAAGTCAGTGATGAATCCTCGTCGGCTGGACTGCTCAGAGTGAGACTTAAACTGTAGCCACTAGGAAAATTTTATAATGTTAGCTAGCCAACTGAATTGCAAAAATGGCTGATTTTAAATCACTGATTTTAGAGCCATAAAATACCAAATAACCTTTCAGTTCAGCTGTTGCAGTTCTGAAACAACACAGTTAACAATAGAGTTTCAAAACATCAGCAGTGAGCTTTTTTCCTTTTGATTTTGTTTCCAGATTTGCGCTGCATTCTTGGTTTATGCAACAAAATTGAATAGAAAAGGCCTAAGTTCAGCTTTTCTGTAATCATTATTGATCATCTAGTTGGATGCTTTGTAAATTTGGAAACAAAACTACATCTCACTATAGGAAAACAGAGGAGCAAATTTGCAGTATTTATGGCAGACTGACAGAGAACAACCACTAAGAAAACAAGAGAAAGGCTGTGAAATGCCTAAATCCCTATTTAATAATCATAAAAGCTCAATGATATCATCCAAACCACCCAACAATGTCATAACAAAATCAATCTGTAATAATTTATACCGCATCTCCCTGATTTGACTAAAAGAGCAGCAAACCAGCTTGAATTGCAGATACCTTGAAAACTGGTCAGTCTCTATTGACACAGGTAGTGCTCTTAATATTTTTCAAGGTTTGTTTTCTTTCCCCATCTCATTTCAATCACAGACCACATCAGCAGGTTGTAAATATAATATGATCAAAATACTGGATCAAACAAGAATAAGAGCCTACAACCAAACTTGATGCTCTGTAAGTCTGCAGTTGAGCATGTTAGCGTTTGCTAATTAGCACTAAACACAAGATACAGCTCTAGCTGATGGTAATGTCGATATATTGGACGAGGAATAGTCAGGAAATCCAAAAAGTCATTAGGAGTCATCCCCTGGGCAATTCCATGGCAATCTATCCAATAGTTGTTAAGTTATTTCAGTCTGGACCAGACTCAAAGAGCCACGCTGCTAGTATGGCCAAAAACACTATTTCTATGTTGTTTTATGCTAAATTCAACAAACCCCCTGCCGTTCTTCAAAGAATTCCAAGAACAGTCATAGACCCCCTGTCGAATATTGTGGTTCTACAGGGATTTTCAAACAATTCCACACAAAGTGCAGGATTATACTAAGTGACATATTCACATTACAGAGGAAAAAATTATTCAGCTTGTCCAGTGTGTGAGTAAAAAGAACAGAAATGTTAACTCTATGTCTTCTGTATTACTCTATTTATCTCTTTATGAACAGTTGGAAGGGAATAGTTCTTACTGTCCAGGTAGATGTGGTGAGGTTCACTCCAGTCGCTCCACACTGAAGGCTTGTTCAGGCTGGAGGCACGAACCTGGATGGTGTAGTTCAATCTGGGCTTCAGATCCAGAGACAACCTGGGCTCTCCAGGTGCAGAAACTACCTAAAGACAGCAGAGAGAGGGAATCAACAAATACACAAACACACAAATCAAACTGACAGGATAGCTGGGCGTGTTCTGAAGTGAGCAATGACTCAAATCATAATCATAATATGACTGCGGTTGCTTTATGGTGCCTTATAAACTGTAACTGTTACCAAAACACACAACCAGGCTGTGGATGTGGTGTGAGTAGACACCTGCAAAATCTGGCAGTTTTCCATGAAAGCCTTTTACATTTGTCAAATAAAAAAGCTGACTCTGGGGTACATGATTTGTAATGTTTGTATGGAGGTTATGTGGCTCAGGTCTGTTAAGCAACAACTGAACTTGCTGGGCATCCTCCAAGATCCATATTCCTCACAAATGTTTACAGTACATCAACGTCCATAATGTAATTTTACTTTGTTGGTCTATTCTACACACACGATTGCAGCATCCCACCATTTTTTTCCCCATTTCATGAGTTTTTCCTTACCTGATTCGATTGTCTCAGAATAGAGGGTGTCAAATTCTCTCCAGATTTTAAAAAACCCTTGAGGCAAATGTGATATTGGGCTGTATAAATAAAATTTCTTGACTTCATACCAAGTCTTAATACCCAAACTAACAGAAAATATATAATACAACTATTGAAACCATATTTTATTTATGCATCTATAGGAGTCTTAAACAGAAGGTCTAAAGTCTCACCCCGGGATGAATCATGGAGCTTCTCATTCAGTGCTGAATACTAAGTGCAGTGTTGAATACTAAGTCCACTGTATGAGGCTATTAAAACCCCAGCTGACGGTAAGCATGTCACACTAAATAAACACAACGTCTTGTTAGTGGAAATGTGTGCTGCGTAAAAGCAGCACTGTTGCAGTGAAAGGCAAATACATTAAGTGTATGTATGACTTAATGGATCAAACTGGATCAAAGTGGCCTGCGGACAGACATGTCCTGGTTTCTCTGTAGTGTCCGAGGGTTTTTGGAGTTTCACTGGACCCACAGATTGCTATGGACCCGAGTACAGACTAGGTAGAGGGAGTAGATTAAGTGTACTTCTCTGTTTATTCTCTTTTCAAAATAATTGTAACTCAATTATTTGCTCAACCCCTCAGCCTGTTTTTATTTTCCATTTAACTCTTTTAACCCTGATTGCACACTGCACTGTAACTTTTACTGTCCTGTTTTAATGTGTTTTTTTTTCCTATTTCCCTAAGTTGCTTTTAAACTTTTTTTTATTTCCCTGTTGCTTTTATGTTTTATGTAAAGCACTTTGAATTACCTTGTTGTTGAAATGTGCTATACAAATAAACTTGCCTTGCCTTACTCAGCTCGTGTAAGCTGTATGTTCTTTAACACCTGAAAGTATATTTTCACTTCTCTTTTTACAGCATAATCTGCACCTAATAATTCCAGTTTGAAACCAAATGAAAGCATGACGCTCATCACCGAGGTGTGTTTTGTAAAAATAGATTGGGACATTTTGGTACCACTTTCCAATAAGGCAAACTTTATACAATGCTTGCATGCTTTATATATTGATTATAAATCATTATTAAGAAAAAACTTATGGGTTGATCAATTGTAAAGGTCCTTCTTTTGACGACGCACTTGGACCAAAATCCATTTATTAACAACTTATTAACATGTACAGCTACCGAGTAGATGGCTTCTTAGAAAATGAGAAACCCATGAGTATTTATAAATGGATTATCAACATGTACAGTATATCAGCATCATTGCCAAATAGAAAAGGCCTGGTAAACACCAGTTAAAAGGCATTTGGAAACTCATAAAATAAAATGCAACTATTGTTCTGATTAATAGTTTAAAATTGATCTATAATCCCAAAAGCCATTAATTAGATTTTTCAAACCTTTTATAAAGGGCACCTTATTATAAAGCGGTACCAATATTTTCAGATGACATGACTCTCAGTGGGTGCAGCAGCAAACTCATTCAGTGTATCACCTTTTAGGTAATATTACACCAATTCTTAGTGTTACCTGCCAGGCTGGATGAGTGGTGTTGGAGGAGTATCGGACCTCATATCTCAGCGGGCCAGTATCAAAGTCAAATGGGTCGTCCCAGTGTAAAATCAGCTCAGCCTCAATGGTCTGGATGTGTGACAGGTTTACTGGAGGACTTGGTTTCACTGAAGAAAAGGAAAATTTATCTCAAAAACAGAAGCACATGTATACAGTCAACCTTTCAAGGCAGAATCAACAGATACCAAACAAATTACACACAATCATAACGCCACTTTGATCCTGCTTTAACATCTATTCACTTTTTAATCAAAGGTTACTAAATCCTATGAATCATTACAATAACATAAATGCATAAAATTAGAAGATACATAATAATAATAATAAATATCTAAGTTTGCATGTGGCATTGGCTGTATTGATCTTCATGCAATGAATAATTACATTTCTCTGCTTGGCATGAATGGCAAATTCACTCCACCTTTTGGTCTTTACATTCAGTATATATCAAGCTCATGTACTGTGGATTTTTAATCAAAGTACCCCATGAATTATATGTGCACTACATGACAATGATTTCAGGAGGATTTCAAAAGGCATGGACCCAGACTTATAGTTACAGTCATTCACTGAAGTGACCCATGCGTAGCAGCCCGGATAATGACCTGTTTTCGTCACTCAATTATGTCAAATAGAGAATGAGACAATTGAGTCTCCTAAAACCACAAAGATGCCTACTGGGAGAGGAGACATTACTCAACATTATGAGTAATAGCTCAACAATTTATTTTCCAGACTATGCTCACATCAGGGAAAAGACAGACTTTTAATTCTCTTCTGAAGGGCTAACATGTAACTCAAGGAGAGGCAACATTGATTACTTTCCAAATATAATAACAAATGATTGTTCACACATCAGGTGTCATCCAACTGAACAGTTCAGTGTATTTTTACATTATAACTTGCTGCCTGCATCCCCTATAGGATGATGAGAACTGTAGCACCACAACTCTGACCATTATTGAAAATAGAAGAGAAATAAAAAACAATAGAGATCCATGATTATTTATGCAAACATGCCAAATGTGATGTTTGAGTTCTCAAATGTGAGAATTGGATATTTTTCTTTATCTTACATTGCTGTAAATTTAATATTTGTGGGTTTAGGACAGCTGGTCAGACAAAACAAGACATTTGATGAAGTCGCAATGGGCTCTACGTTTTGTGATTTTCACTATTGTCTTTTGTTTTGCAGACCAAACAATTAATTGAGAAAATAGCAGTCTGATTTATTGATTATGCAAACAATCGTCAGTTGTAGCTATTCTATTATTACACTTTTTACTTTATTAAGGCTCAAAGTGGCCCCTGAACATTGTTCTGATATCTCATGTATCTGTCCAAATACAGATATTTACTGTTTGTTAAAAATCTGGACATACAAGCAAATACCTAAAACTATTTTATTGCAACAGTTATCCTAGAATATGTATACTAGAGTACAGTTCTGCTCACTGATTCAAACATCCAGGACCGCCACTGACAGCACTGGAATATCCCCATACTCCATTCAAAGGTTGGATTTTTACAAAAAAACATTGTGAAAACTTTGTTTCAAGAGCAGAAAAGGCTAATTTAGAAGGATGATGGCTTTACTAATGATGCTGTAACACAGACGGGAGGTAAAGGACGAAGCTGAAGAATGAAGAAAAATCTGGACAACATGCAGTTACTACTCAGTTTCTGTTCTCCTCTGTCAGTTTATCCAACAGGTCTAGATGAACAAACACAGAATGCAAAGTCCTTGCTTATCACTGTGGAGATCTCAAAGCATGGGTGTTCGCGCGCACACACACACACACACACAGGGCCAGCTGCTCTCGGCTATTCCTGTCACGTCTGCCATTCACAACTGAATAAAACTCTTTGTCCTTATCTGTCTGGATTCATCACTTTGAAGCTGTACGTTGGAAACTGCCTGCATCATCTTCATACATGGCTGAATTTATTCTTAGGAATGCCAGTAAATGAGTGACTTCGAGAGAAAAGGTAAATGAGGGAAACTTGCTTTTTTTGACAAGTTACCGTAATGCAGTTTAGTAGGTAAGAGTAGTAACAGATAAGTGAGGTCATACTTAAACCCTTAAAAATACCAGACTGTATACGATAATAATTGTCTTAACATTTAAAAGCTTTAAAAGATAAGTATTCTACTTGACAAATTCCTTTCTCAGTACCACTTTATAATAAGCACACTTTATAAAGAGTTCATGATTAGTAAATAATGACTTAATTGATGATTAGTAAATAATTTAATAATACTTAATAGATGTTAAGAAGCAATGAATCCATTTTTATCTTAAAACCTGGGACTGCAAACTGTTACTAATATAAAGTAAAAAATGAGTCTCTTACCAGGTCGGGCAGGAATTCTGAGCAGGACTGGCGGAGCTACAGCGTTGGAGATGCTGACAGTTACCAAGGTGACAAAGGATGATGTAGCGTCAAGAGCGACTGAACACGTGAAGGAATCCACCGCTTCACAGACAACAGGATTATCAGATGCAGTATTTCCATCGTTCACCTCTGTGTCTTCTTTGTGGGACCTGGGTAACAGATAATACGTCACTTTATTATCTCAGTGGATTTTCAGTGTAGCAAAAACTGGATCTTGAGGTGAAACCATTATGTTTAAATTTACAACAAAAATGTCAGTGTAAAATATGTAAGAGCTGTACAATGTGTGACATCTCTTATCGTGTGTGTTAAATCAGTGGTGAATTGGGCTCTTTATTCTTGCCACAATAAATGCTTGGAGCAAGTGTGATATCACACAGCTTCCCGTCTGCTGATCGAAGAAAACACACATACTTAACCCCACACTGAGCAGTGGGGAAAGTTGCAGACTAACACACACACACACACACACACACACAAAAAACAGCAAGCAAAAAAAACAACAAATAACAATAAAAGGGTGCAGCTTCATACTCACAACAGACGCAGTAAGCGAACTGCAATAAGACCAGCATTCAGTGTGGTTGATGGTGGACCATGAGACTGAACGTCACAAGTGAAATTTTCCCAGTTTTCATCAATTCTGCACAGTATGTCCAAACAGGTGCCTGACAAGAAATTACAAACGTATGTTAAGTATCACTATCAGCGCCATCTACAGATTTCACCAGTTAACTGTGACCTTCGATATAGGTTTCTGAGAAAACGGTCTGGCTTAATACTCTGAGAATTTAGTATCTGACATGAAATATCATAGCTGCAAGCAGCAATATGGTGGCCGGGCTCCAGACTGCCAATGTAGTCATAAAGGGAAAAAATAGAAGTTTAAAAGTCTTAACGTAGAACTTATTGTTACAGAGTTAAATAATTTAAAGTTAAGTTAGGGGTTTTAAAAAATACATTTTGAAAAATGTATCAGAATACCATTTGAGAAAGTCTTTGTCAAGATGACAGCCATGCTGGCTACGTCAGGCTGTACTAAGGCAAAGTCATGCATGAGTTAAATGCTAATGTCAGCATGCTAACATCTTCATAACAACAATGCTAACATGCTGATGTTTTATAGGTTTTATGTTCACCATCTTTATTTAGTGTTGATAGCATGCTAACATTTGCTAATTTGTGTTAAACACAGAGTAAAAGGTGATGATGAAGTAGTGGACATATTAAAAATTTAAAAGCATTAAGAGCATTTAAAGAGCATTTAGAGCATTACTCTAAATGCTAAATAGATAAATAGAGCATTTAAAGCCTAACTGAAATCACATTTAGTCCTCCATTTTTGTACTAAAAAATAATGTCAACATGTTTTATAAAATGGTCGATAGTTTTTACAAATGCTCCTTTTCATCTCAGTCAGCTAGAAGGAAGTCATGGGCAGACACATGGTCGTCAGTGGTATTGAACAGATAGACCACACTAGCATGTAATCAGACTGTAGAAATATTTGCAGGTAGTTACATGTGTAATGTTCTGCAGCTGAATTAGCAATACTGATCTAGACTGCAAACTTGATGTTACAAGTGCATTTTCGCCTGGTAAATGTTTGTTTGGATGTTCAAGCTAAGGTGACCTATTAAGACGTATGTTCATGTTTGTAAGTTGGAAAAGAAGTGGACTTTAGCAGGAAAGCTAATGTGGGTTGCTGTCTGTTGCTCTTGTGCTGTGTAGCAGGTTGCGGTCTGGCTCAGTTTGACCATCTTCTCTGCCTACGAAAGAATGCTAACGTTACTGCTTTATGCAAGATTTGACTAACTCTAAATAAGGTGTCATGTGTGTTCATGTGTGATGTGAAATGCCTTCAAAATTTTAAAAATTGTTTACTTTCAGTTGGATAAAATTAACAACAACATCACACCTCCAACATGTCCCCTTTCTGCCAAATTAATTTCACGTACATAAGATACTGTTGTATATACTGTTGTATATTTAAATAGACTCATTATCTAGAGTAGGACTGGCCAGAACTCCTGTTTTTGTGTTCAGTCTCTGCCTTCTGCAGTCTTTAACTCACACCTGTCTTTCTGGTGCTGACAGCAAAAAAATATGTGAATAAAATAACTATGACTAACAACTGTTAAATACTCAGGGGATCCTGGAGCTGAATCACACTATTGACTGTCAAAAGACCTCATAAAGCAGTTGGGAGGCACAGCGTGGGCATTTAACTTTGCTCTTTAATCACCATTGCTTAGACCTAAGGCTGGAATGTCTAAGCTAATCACCATTGATTTGGATGCGTCACAGAGCCTCTCAGACCGACACAAACAAACAAATCCTCCTCACCTCCCTCACGTCTCAATATCGCCTCACCTCTATCTTCACCTCCACAGTGAGAATATTAAGAGATCATTTTATAATTATGACTCACATGAACAGGCCCCCATTTGCTTTTTAAACTCAACTACATTTTCTTCTTGCTGGAGTGGTGCTGATTGATTTCCTCTACTCTACATATGTAGAAGAGGTAGGTAACAGCTGGTTCAGTTCTATTGTGCTGACTGAATCCTAGTGAGCCAGACTATCTTGTGAATTGACACAGCACGTGACTCAAATGATCATCCACTCTGATAAGGGGCTCAGAGGGATGCCAGGAGAAAAGCCATTAAAGTGTAATGAGCTTGCCAAGATGATCTTTGAGGCCATTTTTATCAGTGACAAGGGACGGTACTGCAGGCAGAATTGTGAGGCTCTGTCGCATTTAACCCGCTGTTTGTTCTGATGAGCAGGAGCCACATCATACAGCTACTCTGTTGCTAGTTCGGATCTCAAGTGTATCACTTGAACGTCGTCCTCTAAACAAACTCATGACCCGTCATACAGAGACTGATCTTGACTTGACTGCATCTTGTCAAGTTAAGCATGGAATAGCGTCAAACCCTCAGCAGGTGTGTGTATTATGTTGTGTGGGCTAGTAGAGCATAAACAAAATGGGGACCCACTCAAGAATGACTTTAACGCAGGAGACCAGGGATTGAGTCCAGCCACACACCCAACACCTGACACTTTTTTAATTAACTGTAACCACAATCTTTCTCTAACCTTTAGCAAGTGTTTTAGTTGTCTAACCCTAACCATACTTTGCCATGATCACAATCTTTCCTTAACTTTAACCATGCCATAGCTGCCATGAACGGATATTGTCGAGACTTTAAAAACTCTAGAGAATTTTAAAAATTGTCCTCCTGGGCACCAAAATAAAAAACAATAACTACAAACTAAAAATATGTCATTAAATGTAATCCAGGATTTTATGGATTTTGATGTCAAAGCTAAATGCTATGTGCCTCTTTGAATTCTTTTAAATATTGTTTTTGAATATTCTTTAAAGTAGATTGAGGGCTTCTTTGTAAATTAAAGTAGTTTAAATAAAATTAAAAGTACAGCAGAAATATACTTTCTACTGAATTCATCCAGACTGAGTTAGATGTATTATGGATTTAATGCAGCTGCATCCTATACATGAAGTCAAGTCTATGAATAACAACCTCATGGAGCGCCTAAAACAATGTATTTATGTGGGAAAAGTTAATCATCAAGTCATCATTTGTTCCAGCAAAAAGGCAAGAGAAGTTTTGAGTTTTATGCACTTTGTATGCACTGACTGCTTCACCTTATCAAGAGGACCCTGAAAGTAGCAACTCCACAAGCCCGGACAAGCTGATTAACATTTCCAGCTATGGCATATGTGTTTTACAGTACTAAAAAAAGACTGCCACTTACATGAATAATTTTTTTGTTAAGAAACATTTTGGTTACCCGTGTTGAATGAACTCTTACCGGCAGAGGGCTCATGAGGATGTGATCCGGTTTTCGAGCCCCTGAAGTTGCAGCGGTTATAGTGTGGGAGGTTTGATTCAGAACGGTTTGCGTGCGTATCATCTCCCTCCGCAGTGAGGTGGGCTGAAGGTGAGTCACAGCACAGCTCATCCTGCCATGGGAGGTCCAAGGCACCTGAATGGAGAGAGGCTCCCTCCTCTGGCCACAAACACTGAGCACCTACTCACAGGGAAAAAAACGTTATAATTTAAGTTTTATGTTTTATTTTTCTGCATCAGACAAGTCACATTACAGCATGTGGAGTATCTTGTATTTTTATCTATACTACATTTTTTCTCATTAAAACACCTAGCTGCTGCACTGTATTTATGTTTATATTCATAAATGTTTCAGTCTGATTTCCTTTTTTTGAAAATATATACATTGTAAAGTTATAATATACAATCAGGTTATGATCGAAAATTATACTAAGGAGTGTGCACAATGCAATACAATGTATTCCATTATTAAGTAATAAGGGAAGAGTATCCAAAGCGCCTGATTTAAAAAATGTTTGCAAAGTAAAATAACAATAGATTTCTTTTTTTGGACAATATATATATATATATATGTACAAATGTCTTGTAAGTTAAATAAAATGTTATTTTTTCCCAAGTTCCTCCTGAAGTGGTAAATACTATATGCCCTTACCAGCAAATTGCTCAAGGTTTTACCAGTAATCAAACATAACTCATTTACTTTATGAAAACTGGACTACAGAGTAAAAGGACCAAATTCTGCTAGGAAAGAATGTAAAGTTAGGTTTACACAAGTCTGCAATAAGTCTGGGTTTTGTTTCAGTTCCCCAAAATCTTTTGCAATATCAACACCTTGTCTAACAACGCCTAAAAATCTTGCATGTAACTTTGTATTTTAAAAGTGAGGCAACAGCCAGTGGATTTGTCAGTGTTTGTGTCTCAAAAAAACAGAACAGAAAAAGAGCATGAGATAAACACATGGACCTTGTTAGTGCATGCCGGACATGGTAGAGAATAGATAACACAATGTACTGTAAAAGAAGAGTACAACGGTTTTCATTTTGGCAGTTATGACCACATGAGCTGAACATGGGAAATCTGTCCACTGTAACACTATAAAACTCAAGGAGTAAAGTGTCAACACTAGGCTGCTGTGCCTTGTGTATCTGGAGATTATATAGACTTACACATCGTGACCAGTGTTACTTCTTCAAAACCTGAGTACTTAAATAGAAATGTCAGCTCCAAACCAAATATAAGCTTAAACTACTTTCCGTAATTGAAAAAAAAAAAAAAAAGAAAAAAAAAAACCTCACGTGCATGAATAAAATAATATGAGAGGGTGAATATCATATCATATATGGAAAGTTCCCTCCAATAACTATTTTTGAGCTGAACCTTTACGGCTGTACGTGAATATTTTAGAACAAAAAGTAGTGCAAGGTGGAAGAAGACATCCTACATGCTGAGAGGTCACAACTGTTGTGTTGGAGGTGGAACTCACCATGGGACACCAGGAAAATATGCATCAGGACTGTCCACATTACAGACTGAACCCTGTAGAGAGACAGGAATAAATCATGGAGGAATGGATAGAGAGAAGGAAAGAAATTGAGACTGCAGTTGCAGGAAGAGCAAAAACCTTAGCAATGTAGACTGAGAGAGGAAAGATTGGAAATTGAGTAAGTCAGATATCAGGGGATGTAGATTTGATTCAGGGTTTCTGCATAAAAATAATGCAGGCGTAAATGTGTTAAATACGTTTTCTTGCAATATCTTTCAATTCCAAATTCCAACTGGTGCATATGCAAGAGTGTGGACATGGGAGCTGTCATACCATCTAGTGAATACTCTCATTGACACATTTTGAATTAGCAGGAAAGGGTTGTTCTGCAGATTAGTATGATATAACATTGCAGCAATCCAAGGTTACTGACATAGAATAATGAGTTACTATCTCCAAATCTAAAAATGATTTCTAAAGAATTGGCATGGTGGAAGACAAAAGGGAAGGTTTGGCAGGTGTGCCACTGTGACCAATCCATTGAAGGGAAACTTGACTTTAACACTTACACAATACAATGAAAAAACTGGTGGACCAATTTCTCTAAAGATGTAATGAGTCATCTGACATTAAGTCTATGCTGTGAAGCATTGCAACACATGACACTGATCAGTGATGCCTACTGATGTTCAGGCGTGTCTGCTGTAAAGGATTTCACATTGAAGAGTTTTATACAGCTTTGCCAAGAAATAAATCCAGAAGATTTTTTATTTATCACAATTGAGTTTGGTCATTATCAGTGCTTAGACATATTTTCACCTGCACATCCCCAAAACCACACTTACTGGGCTGCGCTGTTATTATCTACCCCAACATAGGGCTAGGCGATATGGCCAAAAATGTTATTACGATAAAAACATGTCATATCATTCAATATTGATTATTATAAAGATAAATGTCAAATCCTTATTTCTATCAAGTTTAAAGGCAAAACTTTGCCCCTGAATGAAAATTGAAGATGGTTAATTGTGTGGTTAAACTACACTTTATGGTCAGAACGTGGCAAACACTGGATCATTTCACATTATAAGGTAGAACATTGAAAACAATTAAGATATAATAATTTTTCAAAAAATAGGATTAGTAACTGTTTTTTCAGTCCCTTTTCCTCAACAAAATAAACATCTTAACAGAAAAATGAAGTGCTAAATTATTTGTGAATCTAATGAATTAAATCAAATATTTATTGACAATATATTGAACATTTATTTTATTGTTATTGAGGAAAATTATATTGCAATAATCATCATTATTGTTTTATTGCTCAGCCCTACTCCAACATTAAACTTCAATCTGCTCAAAAAAGTAGTTTTCTCATTCATCTGTGTCGCTGAAATCCTCTAAAACAATAATCTCTGTTTCCACTTTCACAATTTCATGACTGACAGATTATTTCATTTCATTTCTTAAATTTTGTATTTCATCTGATTGCACTGCAAGAAATCATTATCAAATTTGCTGATTTATAATCAGAAGCTCTAAAATTCTACAAAGCACTTTCAAACTCATCCTTTGGAGGTTTGACAATGTTATTGTTATTTTTCTCCACAAACCTACGCCATGACGAAACTCAGACAAGTGGTCACCTCCATCTGTGACAGTGGGACCATTTTAAAAGTGATCAATCTAAACATCCAAGATTTAATTAAACAACTGCTATAGTCTATATACTGCAATACTTACATTGTAGTGGTCATGGCGTGAGCATGGCCTGGCTGGGCTTTGGAAGAGGTTAATCTCACTGAGAGAGAAAGAGAGAGAAGGTTATCAGAGCCCTCTTAAGGTTATAAGGCTTTGAAGCAGTGAAGTTATCTTTGAATCCAGCAGGACTTAAGTTATGTGTCGTGATTGGAATATATAAGTGTAACACATTAGGGAATAAAATACTTAAATTCTTTGCATTCTAGTAGTAGCTTTAAAAAAAAGCTTCTCGGACACATCCTATTTCAGAGGCAGAACACTGACGTTCTTGTGCAGTGAAATTACTTATTTATTTTCTCTAGAGGTCATCAACATATGCCAGAATCATTTCGTACAACAACAACAACCCACAGTTCAATAACAGGATGCTACTGTTTTTTAATATATTTTTCTCCGCTTAAGATCCAAAAGTCCAAACTCTCCATTAAAGTGTGATCATTTATTCTCACATTTTTCTATTGTGTATGATTGACACTGACCTTCATTATAAAACTCTCTGCTGCTTGTTTTGGCCCCAAACTAAAGCAGCAAGGCAATAAATGAATAGAGTGTAACATCACAGAAGCCAGTGAGCTCATCTATTAATGCATTGACATGGTAGACCAAGCAAGCACAGCATGTAGTGAAAAACAGCACCATCATGGAAGAGCTGAAGTGTGTGTGTGTGTGTGAATATGATCCACTTGAAACAATAACAGGCTGGCACAGAGGTTTTTTACGATCCAAATAAACAAAAACACGACCCACTTAATTAATTAATCATGGAATGCAAAAGCAGCGTCATCAGCATGAGGTGAGACTGCAGGAAGACATAAGATAAAAAGATGACACTGAGCACCATCTCATGTATTTTTGCACATCTATTCCTATGCACTGCGCACACACACACACACACACACACACGTCATCACTTTCAGGTGTTCAAAACAAAGCCTCAGCATGAGTAGCTCCTGGGACAAGTACAGTAATGGGCTGTCATGTAGTACTAGTGTCATCACTTATCAATATATACTGACAGGTAGAAATGTCTGCATGGTAACTAGAACAGAAAGCTTAACGAGGACACTAATGCAAAAAGGTAATAAAAAAAACATTGTCACGAAGCAATCCAGCTAACTGATTTGCAACACTTCCTACAGAGGTTTAATCTTATCAGAGATACTAATAGGATAGCTGTCACAGTAAAACCGTATTACAAAATCTCTGACAAATTTATATCATGTCGTAACACCCAAGCCTAGTAAGGACCAATCGAAATCTCAATGCCAACAGCAAGTAAGACTCACTTTCATGTTAATGACTGTGAACATAACAATGGTGTTCAAAGCTTAACCAGAGTCAGGTGTGAGTTTACCACATACTTTATGATGCTGGCGCATAACCACAGAGCAAACATTAGAATAATCTTTACACAATCATGGTTATCCACTAATACTAGTTGTACATGTTTGCATGATCAGATCAGACAGGCCTACATTGGGACAGGTAACAGAAGCCCTACATTCACTGACATACTGGTCAGTTGCCCTTTTCATTTGATTAATTAAGAATATTTGTTTTTTGTTTTTAAAGCTGTTATCTTGCTGTTAAGTGAAGCAGCTGAGAAGTTCCAAGTCCATTATGCCTCAATTTGATCTGCACAACACACAGGTACAACCACACCTCAGCTATGGTGGACATTCCTCATAAAGCCATTTTAAAAAGTTGATGCGGCTGCCATGTGGGGCTGCCATCTTTACTCCTAACTTCCTTATCCTCTTTGGAAACAATTAGGCTAGATCAAGACAACCATCTGAAACTATTTTCCACATGTAAGGGAAGCTCTGCCCCCTCTGCTCCGTGTCCCCAAGGGACTCCACCTCATCCTAGTCTGACTCACACCCTGCCCGTCTAAAGCTGCTCTGCATTGAGGCGTGCTCGGGCTCGTTTCCCCGTATCAGATGTAGCAGCAGCATATTTCTGACAAGTTATCTTTTTTTCTTTCCAGACAAACAGCATACATTTCCCACATGTGTCAAATATTTACTGTGGCCATTTCCTTCCTGAAAAGTTTCCCCAACTAAGTTACCATGAAAAGTTCATCATGACCAAGACAGATTATTAGGCTATAATACATTGAAAGCTTAGAAAATATATCTTTCTCAATAGAAAGAAAATTAAAAGTTCAAAGAGATTAAAGTAAACTCACCAACAGATAATGCACTGCACTGTCCCACTCAATCGATCTATCTATTTAGTAGCGTGGCTATACTTGAACAACTGAAACAAATGAGAGCGTTCGCCTATTATAGCACATCTGCAAAGTGCTAAATGCAGAAGTGACGGGAAAGTCCATCAGCGGTGAAAAACATTCAAGCAAACATGTCACTTTGCTAAAAGTGGTGAATAATTCCTCACCTCTGTGTGAAAGAAGCGGAGAAAGTCTCAAAGGTCAAAAGAACAGTTGGTAACCACAAAAATATAATACCATTATGTGGGTATTATGTGTTAAAAGTGAGAATTAGTAATAAGGAGACTGTGTTCTTACATCGCTCTTGGAAATGTCTTCTGGTTCTGTTTCCAGGTTTCCCTATGTCCGAGTCACAGTTCAGTCAGGTGAGTTTAAGTCCTCAGTGAAAATCTGTGCGTCTCCGTCAGAGTTCACGCTCCATCTTTTGAGTACTTTGTGTCTGATTTCCCAAACACACTATCGTTTTCCCTTTCTCATACGTCACTGCTGTTTCATTGACTTGACTACCAGCGTATCCTCCCAGCATAAAGACAGGAGACCCGAAGGCTGCAGCTGGGAGAGAGGAAAGAGAGGCTCTGACGCCCCGCCCTTCGTGATGCATTCAGAGGCACCTCCGCAAACCCTACCATTAAGGATATATACAGTAATCTACTTGAAACAACCATTTGTTCGGCAGTAAAAATAAAAACAATATGTAATGGTGGGACTTAAAACTTAACTTAATTGTTTGTTTTTTGGGTGATTTTAATTTCAATGACTTAACAAATCTTTCATTCCAAAGCTTTTCTATTTAGGCCTATTTATTTATTACTCACTTAGTTTAGCCTAATCCGTGTATTTATATAATTATTGTTATAAAATGATTAGTACTATTTGTGTTTGTTTGTGTAGGCTATATGTCACATAGTCAGGACTCCCTTGTGAGGACAAACCAGCCAGAAACAGCTAGATTATGAAAGTATCGGACCAAAAAATAGATCCCAGCCCTTCCTTCAAGACTACCTTCTAGTCACCCCCCGAAACAAATTTTCATGAGCAATCAGTGCAAGGGCAGAGTGTGCACAAGTAGGTAGGTAGATGGGTAGATAAGTAGCTCAGTCATTAGTTTACTTCCAGCAAACCCTAGGTTTGTGAACGCATACTTGCTAGATAAGATGCAAACCTTTGGTGTCGGAAACCTGGGTTCGATTCCCACTGTGAGACATCCACCATTGTGTCCCTGAGCAAGACACTTAACCCCTAGTTGCTCCAGAGGTGTGTGACCTCTGACATGTATAGCAATTGTAAGTTGCTTTGGATAAAAGCGTCAGATAAATGTAGTTGTCAACTAGGCTCTGCACAATTGAAATATCACTTTCTATATTCCTAGATAAAGATTATTATTCTCATGGCATAAGACAAACTGACTTCTACGGAACCACCTGTTAAAAAAAACTCACAGATTTTCCAAATGTCTATCAGACAAAAACATCTTGTAGAGCCAACATATTGCAGTGGAAACAGAGGTGCAAAAAGTCTGGAGGTCAAGTCTTTCTTGTTTCTTTCTCCTTTTAACAAAAAACAAAAAAAACGCTAAAAAGCCCACTGTTTTTGTCCTAGAAAAAAGTCTCCATCCAGATGTGGATCCTTGGCCACACCACTAAGTCAACCTACTTTTCCAAATGCGAACAGGCAGTCCAGTCAATAATCCGTTATTTGAATGGAAAGTATGTCTGTGTAACTATTAGCTATACAAGGAATTCCACATAGAAGAGTGAATAGTGAATGATTTTGTTGTCCTGGTAATGTGACCTAATATTTTGTCATATACTTAAGCCAAGAACTTCCATGACACATCAGTTGAAATTACTGAATAACTGTAATACTGCCAGGTGTCCATAAATTTATTCTATTTTGTCCTCTAGATCACAGCTTTAATTTGCAGATGTTGAGTGTACAGCCACACAGAAACAGAGGTGAGAGAACATATAAATTCAGAGAGAAAAAGGTGTTTTTTGTCAGTGGCAAACATGCCAGTATGACGAATGTAAAGATGGACAGTAAACAAAAACAAGGATGAATAGTGCAGTACTCATTTGTGTTTACAGCTCAGTATTTACTTGTGGTGTTGACCCTGCAAACGGCACTGAAATTCTCAAACTAGAAGAGTGCAGTGCACTCAGGAGAGTACAGACTTGTGCCAGGTGTGTTTGGGGCTATGTGGGTGGTAAACAGGGAGTGCAGGGCAGGCGGTGTCCAGAATGATACATGAGAGTAGTACTGGAATGAAGTGGAGAACTATTTTTGTTCAGTATAAGTCTTGTTATACAGATGTATGCAACATTTTAATACGTTTTTTGTATAGTCTCTTTAGCATAGAATAGTGTAATGGTATTGTAACTGGGCATCCTGGGTTAACCTAACTGTATAGCGAAACTTAAGGAAGGAAAGGAAACAATAAACAGGACAATATGTCCAAACCTCTGAATTTAACCATTCTTATTTATTTAGAGCATTTTGTTGAAACACACCACACAAAATAAACCTCTCCCTCTCCCATACAAAGAAGAGCTGAATCTTATTTAAAAAATAACAAAAAGGTAGATGTGCTGTCTGTCCAAATGAATTCCATGGGCTGATTTTTGTGTCAGTACAGACTGAATTTGAATAATTTAGAACTGAATTTGAATTGCTCAACTTGAATACTTGCATTTAAAAAATGAATTTGAATTGCTCAACTTGAATTTGAATTTGAATTTGAATTTCCATCCATCCATCCATCCATATGTGATATGATATTATGAATCTAAACTGAAACTGTATTTGAGCCTCATTAAAAGTTCAAGTCTTTGTGTGCTTTCACTTTCAATTCTCTCAATTCAAATTCAGTTCTCTAAATTCAATTTCAAATCACAAGATTCAGTTTAAGGTCACAAGCAGGTCAAGGCCCTTGAGGAAGAGCAATCGAGTGCAGATGCACAGAGCGCTATTTCGGCCAATCAGCACGTTAGTTTTTGACCACTTCCTGTATTCCACACCGGCAGCCTGTTGCCCCGGCTGTGTGTAAGTTATCTCCTAAAGCCACACACAAAACCTTTACTACTTTGCTTGTGAGGGCATTGTATTGCATTCATTCCCTGGAAGCTGGTTGTAATTCTAACCTAGGCAGCATATGTATCTTGTGGTTTGAAATTGAACTTAGAGAACTGAATTTGAATTGAGAGAACTGAAAGTGAAAGCACACAAAGACTTTTTAGTGAGGCTCAAATACAGTTTCAGTTTAGATTCATAATATCACATTCAGATTCAAGTTTATTGGAATTCAGTTTCAAACTAATAAATTCAAATTCAAGTTGAGCAATTCAAATTAATTTTTTAATGCAATTATTCAAGTTGAGCAGTTCAAATTCAACCCCGGTTGCCTCGGCCTTTCTGTGTGGGTGTCTGCGTGGGTTCTCTCCGGGTGCTCCGGCTTCCTCCCACCCTCCAAAGACATGCGGACTAGGTTAATTGGTGGCATTTAGAAGTGTCATATATACAGGTGTTAGTAACAGTGATTGTTAGAATAAGTAAATATGATTATGACTATGATTATGATATAAATGGTTGGTCTGTCAGTGCAAATCCTAATAAAGCTGAGGTGTTAAATTACCTATCCCACACATTTGATTATACTTTCTGCTGCTTTCATTGAACAATCCATACTGCAGGAGTATCTCCAGGCAATGAATGTACACAGTACTATACTACCAGTAAGGTTTACTGAGTAAGTAATAACAACACTGTGAGGACAAAACCCCAAGTCCCCACATGGTTAAGCATTTATTTTATGGCTAGACTTGATTTTAAGGTCAAGGTTAGAAGTATCATACGTCCAACTGATTCAATGCACAGTAGTTAAGAAGCAGGAGATATTCTGAGAAGGTTTCTAGTCCATAACAAGCCTAATGCATAAAGATAGACAATATCATTTGCTCTCACATTCACACATATGGACAATTTTAGGTTTCATATGGACAGAACCTGCATGCCTTTGGACTTTGACAGGAAACTGAAGCATCTGGAGGAATCCTTAGGCAAGAATGGGGAAAATATGCAGTCAAAACAGAACACTGGTAGGCAGATTCAGACCCAGGGCTGTCTTGCTGGGTGGCAGCAGTGTTAAATACAATGCCATCATGCTGCCCAGGTTAAAATTACGACCAGCTTCCAGGGAATGAATGCAATACAATGCCCTCACAAGCAAAGTAGTAAAGGTTTTGTTTGTGTGAGCTTGAGCGACAGAGTGAGATACTGCCTGCAGTCACTATCAAACTTTATGACGTAGAAAGGATGCGTCAATGTGTGCTTGCATAAATTTGCCTGTGTGGGGAGGAGATTCATTTGCAAATGATTTCCTTGACCTGCGTCATGATGGAGGCACACCACTTTAATTTTGCAGCCCACTGGTCTTTATAGAGATGGATCTTGCTCATTACTATCAGCAGTCTGGCATCGCTCTGTCACTGAATGCTGCTGATCATCATGATCTGGTTTCACACAAAACCCCTTTAGAGGAGCAGAGAGAGTTAGTAAAGAAGACGTCAGACGAAAAGGATGGCTTTTTTTTTCTGCCGTCACATTTCTCTTTTGTTACTTTCACCGAGTCCAATTACAGTCATGTTACCGACTAATGATTGCAAAAATGTGCAAGTGTCAGCAGCTTTCTCTTATACCATCAAACTGGATGAATAAGCAAACTGCAAACTGGCCTTGATTTATGATTTTTTTTTAAACATATATTGGACTTTCTTTGGAACCTAATGAAAACAGCTGAAAAATACTTTTCAATGGGAGCCTTATTCAGGCGGCGCGATGGTACAGTGGTTAGCACTGCTGCCTCACAGCAAGAAGGTTGTGGGATTAAACCCCGGTTGCCCTGGCCTTTCTGTGTGGAGCATGTTCTCCCTGTGTCTGTGTGGAAACCTATATGCTCCCAAAGCTAATCACTTGTAAGGGTTATTCCCTTTAATTCAAAATTTAATAAAAATGACTGTAGCAGCAGCCTCACCTACAGCATTCATTCAAAATGAGGAGATGACATCGTTCCCTCCAGTGTCATCCTGTTGTAATGTGATGCTCATGTAAAGATGTTTGCGTGTTACAAAAATTAATAAACAAGTAAATAAATACAATCTGAAGATTTCCCGTGATGAACGATTTGACCAGTGACACCAGGAGGTTTTGCTCTGATAATTATGTGACATTTTTTATTTGTCTTCTACAGTATTCTACTGGAGCTAGAAATTCCTTTATTTAATATTTATTTATTTTATACTGTATAGATTTTAGTGCACTTTATAGTACCATAATGATTCACTGTGATGTAATAATCATTATTATAAATTGTAATTATTAGATCACCTAAGTGCCAGTGTTAGCTATTGTCTCTTAGCCTATGAGACATCATCATTGTTCCCATGTCATCATTGCTTAGGGGGATGATTTGATAGCAGTGCTACATTATCATCAATAGATGAGTTAAGCTTTTTACACTATATCGAAATTATGAGTTGACAGTCTGCAGTGTAAAAA